CATAGTCGCTATACCCTGCTAGCCGGTAAGGGTATAACAGCAAGCCACAGCAACGAGAGCAACGTCTCAGCATGCAAATGAGAGCAGCCAAGCAGCAGCAAAGCAGCAAAGGCAGCAACCAAAGTAACTCGATACAAAATTTTGCCAAGAAAAAACAACAGCAACAGTGGCAAAAATTATGTACGAGTATTTCTTCAGTATGCAGGTATTTGTATTTGTTAAAAAATTGTCACATTTTTGTTTGTTTGCAATTGCTGCACCGCTGGAACTGTGAGAAAATATGCAAAGCAGCTGAAACAGAAAACTTTGCGATAGTGCAGCGTAGAGTCTCCCTGCCTCAGGGCATTAAAGTGCAGTCATAAATCCCGTGCTTGCCTCACAGTTTCACTGTGGTCTTGGGTTGCCTTTTTGACTGGTGCCACTTGATCCATTTAATTCTAGGATCTTCGGATGGCAAATTGTCAGTGGGAAGAGAAGAAAAGATTGGGTTGCACGCGAGAGTAGTTTTGAAGAAATTGAGCGGTTAAATGTTGCTGTTTTTAGTTCGTTTTTTGTGGTCCTAAGTCATGAACATTTCTCTTCTTTCTTCAGATACTTTGGGTATTAAGAATGATCAAAGATTGATAGACGTGTGCGTCAAAAGCTGTAGAGAAATTTGCCAAAAAACCTACATAAATAAATGTTTAAGAATTCCAAACATTAAAGCAATACATTTTAAGTGCCTTTACAAGGCTTTATGCACATTTTGTTCGATTGAGTACCTTAAATATTCAGCGCTAATGGAATCCACTTTTAGCAACTGTACGCCAAATGCCAGTACCCACTGTATGTGCAGGTTAAAAGTGCAATAGGAAAAGGGGCCAGGCATATGTACCCAGGGTAGATAAAGATGATCTGTCTGATCTGCTGCACTGTTCTCATTTATAGATGACGATTGGTGTGGCAAGCGTGTCAATCTTCATTTTTCAATAACAAATACACGAGTGCGTAGTAAGGTTTTCCATAAGTCAGTGAGCGGCTGGTCAGTGGAGTGCAGTGACGGG